GGGACCAGAGAGACTGCAGGACGCTAGCAGGCAGCAACCTGACATGCCAGCGAATGTACTGCAAGCAAGCATCTCAAAGGGGAGCAGACGTCATGTATTCCGAAGCTACATTTTCACGGCACCTGCCTTTTTGTAAAGAGCCTTTAAAAGACCAAGATGATTTTTTCCATGAGTTAAGAGACTTCAAGTGGAACCTTACGGATGCGGCAAAGAAATACAACCCACGCTCAACTGTCTCTCTTAACAGACTGTCTCAGGGAAACGTTTAACAGCCTGGCTACCGAGGCTGAAGCACTGTAACTGCATGCACGGAAAGGATCTTGCTGGACTGATCTACTTCAGCTCCAAACATGTATTCATTCACAATGCTACAACAGGCCTTGGCTTAAAATCCCTTTTTCCATTGTCCACTTTGGGGTCACAGATCATGCACTGGGCTGCTGCTGCAGCCATTCTGGACTAATAAAAGTCATTGTACCTACTACCAGAAGTTGCACTGCATCTGCGAAAGGGCAAACGTATAGGAAGCACAGGGGAAGCCCCATGTGTTAAACTACGCGTGACCTACCATGCTATTCTGTGGCAGATCCCGGACGACCACGAATCCTAGAAGGGACACAGGAGTTGCCCATCTGCCTTAGACGTGAGGTCACTGAAAGTCTTCCTGCAACTAAGTGGAATTTGTGTGGGTGAGAAGGACCCCAGAGAGCAAAAAACACCAGCAAAGGAGGGCAACACCGTATCACGTTCGCGCTGCACTGCCCATCGGGGCAATGACCTGCTCTCAAGCTACTGCAGAGAAACGGGCTTTCCCTTTTGCTGCAGATGGCCTCACACGTGCTAGACCACAAAGAGGAAACCCCTTCTGAACTGCTGCCACCTGGCTTCCCCAGAGACCTGAAGAAGAGCTCATCTGAGCACCTGCGGGTAGCGGGCAGACTGCCTGTCCCAAAAGCAGAGAGAAGTTTACGGCAGGGCCAAGAGAGGGAGAGGGCACAGCAGAGCCTGCTTCCAATGGAGGAGAGGAGCACACAGAGCCCAGGAGCTCAGCAACTTCCTCCTTGCTTTCTTCCTGGAAAAAAAAAAAAAAGGGAGTCTGTAGCTGGGAGAAAGGGCAGAGATAACCTGCAGGCAAAGTCCCTCCAGGGCTGAACGATGAGCACAAGGAGGTGTGCCGGGTACCAGGGACAGATGTGCAGGTGCAAGATGATGAGAGTTTGGGAAAAATGGGGATGCATTCGATATAACATTCACAGGTGTGGGGCTAAGGGACACAGAACTGATCTTGGGCTGGATATAGGTGGATGTGGAGGGCACAGAATAAATTACTGGTATTTTGGAAGTTGGGGGAGAAACTGGAAGCTCCCATGCACTCAAGAAGCCTGGCCTAATTGATCTCATTAGGTCCATTAGTGAGAGCTCCTGTGGCAGGGGGCGAAAATCCGGCCATCTACCATATACGTGCCAGGAGTCAGCAGTACTGCAGTTCTCACATACACACCGAGGTGGGGAAGATGAGTTTGAAAATCAGAAGAAAAACCAAAATCCATTATTTTGGGATGGGCCAAACGTGTGATTTTCTTTTATAGTCAGCCATAATGGGCATGCCTTCAGGAATCCATATTCTGGCTCCTAGATCAAGCCAGGCAGGTTACAAATGCCTGTGCTGCAGTGGAGATTTCAGTTTCGTGCCATCCTGGTCACTGTCGTCATGAGACACAGCACTTTGCATTTCATTCACTGGTTTGAAAGTATCTAAGGTCAACAGTGTTTGCGTGTGGCTGCTAAGAGAAGGTTGATTGGTGGCACGTATGCAAATGTACATATTTACGCCACGCCTATCACTGTACAGCACGTGTCAAGGCACCAGTCACCAAAAAGCACCCAGCTAGCATGTGTACATGTGATTACCTTGACCATCGGACCAGCAAGTTCCACAGCGAAGCCAGAAACCAGATCATTTGCTTTTTCAAGTGCATCTACAGCAGGACTGGGACATCCATGTCAGGAAGCGCGCAACATCTCTAACTGCACAGACCTGCTCTGCATACAAATATCTTCGGACCCCCATGCCGATAGCCTCAGGTCTCTAACAGACCCTCAGCATTTTAAAATAAGTCACCTACAAATTGTGACACTTAGCATCATTCCTGTCTCGAGCATCCCCACAAGCAAGAACTGGGGGTCAGCTTTGTGTTGAGATACAAGAGATGGGCAGGTGATAAAGCAGAGGGACCGAAGGAGAACTGATGAGCCCCATCACTAAGCCATCCGAGCAATTCCTGCAAACATGTCCGTCTTTGAACGTATCTCCAACAGGCAAGACAAAGCCAACAAGTTTCAGACAGGAAGTCAACGCTTCACTGCCAATCCCTCTGAACATTTGCTTTCCACTCTCAACAGGAGCACAATATCGGTGCAGAGCACACCAACAAGAAAGGCCATGTGCACAGAGCTCCTGTTCCAGCTGCAGCAAGTGGGGCCCTATCCTGCCCCTGCTGAGCCTCCTCAGCTAGTCTGCAAGTCGAGGAAAACTGAAGGCACGAGGCATCTGGGTAATGACAGCGTACCTCTCGCTACCCCCAAATTTCTGCCTAAGCCTCCCTGTGCCTGGAGCCCACTGCTGCGCCACTGCAGTCCACAGCACAACCCTCCTGCGGATGCAGATGACGATGCGGGACCGAGTGCCTGAGCACATCCACTCTCGCCATGCCTGGCTATATGACACCGGTCTTGTTTATGCCAGAACACAATCTGCCTCGTCTACATATCTACAACACACACTTGGCAGATTACTGCTCCTATGCCAGGATTTTCAACACCCTCCTTGTGATCCCCCAGTCAGGCTTCTCTCCCTTCTTGTACATGATCTATGGCTTTTTGAACTACTTCTTTCCAATTAGATTTACTCCCTTGTTTTCCACCTATTGCCTGATGCTTTGCACATGATTCTTAATTACTCTTTGGGCCAAGGGGGAAGGGAGAAATCTCCTCTGCTCTTTCCCAGCCCTTGAAAAAAATCTATGTGCGCCTACCTGCCAGTAGCAAGGGGGAAGCTTTCCCTGGCAAGTGAGGGAGCTGCAAATACCAGTTCTTGCAGAATATATCTGATACCTTCATTCTGGGGGAATGCAGGAAGTCCGGCAAACCCAAGAGCTTGATCCTGATGAACAGCCACCCATGAAACTCAGAAGTGAAATCCATTGCGATCAATGCCATTACACCCGAGTAACATCCAATTCGGGCCCTGCTTTTCAGATAATATGGAGGGAGCCTGCAGCACAGGGGGCTGCTCAGATCAACTTGCCAGTGCACAACAAAACACAACTGACAAAATTTGGTCAAGTTTCCCTTTTGCTAGTTAAAACCATGCAGGGAAATGGGGAGGCTTGTGGCTTTTTGGAAGATAAGCAACAGAGTCACTGCAGCTGTTGCTCGTAGACTCTACCGGTGGTTTCCCTCACCCTGCGCATTGCTCGTGTCAACTTTTGGATGCTCCATTTCATCCCAGCTATCTTCTGTAAGTCCGATTTAGGACAGATATGAAGATGACTTCTCTCGGGTCTTACAATCAAAGGTCAAATAAAATCCTCTCGGATATTAAAAATACTTCCATGCAGTCTGATGCAATTCAGAATGATCTGCAGTCGCCATCCACAACCGTCCAAGAAAAAGCAGAGGTTGACAGAGGCTGGGACGGGGGTGATTTTTTAGCGCTGTGGCTCGGCCTTGCCAGGCTGTGCTTCCAGCAAATGGGGAATGAACTACTGGCTCAGATCTGCGACATGAGCACGGCCTCGCTCGAGTACCACTAGTCCAGTAACCAAGCTGGGCTGGAGACTGAAAAGCCGAGCCAGACCCCCCAAGGAATTCAGGAAGCTCTGTAAAAATAGCTCCCTGGTAAGTCGAGGGTAGCGAGGCCCTGATGGGAGCACGGCTCGAGACAGGGTTGGGCTACAGCCCAAAATAGGACTCGTGCTGTTGGAGCAGGGGAAGGAGGGGATGTTTTAACCTGAGCCCACCGACGCTGCATTTCCACGAAGGACTGATCTGGCTAGAAATGTCTCCCGTTGCCAATACGAGTGGCTGCGCTCCGAGCACGGAGAGGCTCCTGCCCTTGACGGTGGGATTAGATGGACAGAGTAAACGATGTGGGAGTTTCAAACCACCTTTACACACGCGCAGGAGGGAGCGGGGGAGACTAACTGTACGGGAAACACCCTGCAGTCAGCACCACGGTGGGCTGGGTAGGGGACTCTTGAGACTTGCACAGCTGTGAAAGAGCAGACACATTAGTGCAAAGGAGCACCTTCCCAGGCACAACTGCGCCGAGCTGGGGAGCCACGAGCTGACCCGCCCCAGGTCACGCAGCAGTTGCGATGGCGCTGGCCACCCCGAAACCTCCGATTTCCAGTCTCTGCTTCTGCCGCAGGCTCCTCCTGGGCGAGGTGCACAGCTAAGGGCTGCGTGTGGGGGCACGGAGGGGGAAGAGCTAGCGGACCATCCTCCTACCCGGGGGCTGACTGTGCCCTCGTAGCATCCTTTACTTCCATTTAGCACCGGGAAATCGCCCAGGTCAGTCTTGCATCGCTCCGCAGCGCGCTGCGGGCCGCACACCTCGGCTTCACGCAAACAGCCAGGTCCGGCGCGGCGCGAATCGTGGCAAGAGCATAACCCCTGCCCGCGCTCCTCCGGCCGCGCCTGCACAGGTCCGAGAGCGGGACCGCACCACGGCCTGCCCCATCCAGCGCAGCTCAGCAGCAATCCCGCGCCCTTGCGTCCCCACACGCGACGTCCCACCCCAGCAAGGCCCTGTGCGGGGTCAGACCCGGCTCCGTCCCCCCAGCCCCCAAGATGTACAGGGCTTCATCCCAACGCCTCTCTCTCGCAGCCCCCGCGAGTGGAGGCTTGTCACCCCCCGTATTTCCAGCGTTTCATCCCCAATTCTCTTCCTGGCGGCCCCCCCAGATTGGGGCTTTGCCCCCCGGGCCGGGCCTCACCTTCTTGACGGAGAGGGAGATGTTGTGCAGGATGCGGTCCTTCACCTCGCCCGGCTCCATG